TAATTGTATGATGAAACCTGCAAAAACATAAATTTGGAATTAATTGCACTGTAGGGACGCTGAAATGACCCGAAAAACGCCGAGACACGTAAGCTTAATTTTGGGTAGTAGATTTCGCACTTATGCAGTGTACACCATTTTTCTAGATCAGGCTATTTTCGCTAGATATTTTCATTTTAAAGCTCGGTATCCAGCTCCTAAGGTAGCGGCTAAGAAAATATAGTGTTTAAGGAATTTTGCCATCTGGTATTTCACAGCCTGTTGTCTTACTCTTTCCTCACGAAATAATAGAAAGGGCATATATTTCTTTTGCAAACATGGGTTGTATTGTGCTCTTTTTTGACAAACTTTAGAAAACAATAGTAGAAAGCGTGGCAAATTTTTTATGAACCTCGTACTGATTTAAAGAAATTTGACATAGGAAAATTTATTCGCCATTTCTTCAGCGTTATGTAGCGTTTATATGGAGTTCTTGCTTTTCTTGAGCGCTATATACTAAGCTTAAGTTTGCATTGCGAATGAAAAAATGAATGAATTAAAACTTTTACTTGGAAAATGTTGCTCACACGCCATGTTCGATTAGGGCCATGTACGTTGTGGCGTATGAGCAACATTATTTCGGTCCCTATTTCATACAACAAAATATTGCACATTTACATTTGATCATTCACAACATGCTTATTTATCTATCGATTTTCATCGTTGGTATTTAGCTTGATTTTTTTTGCAAAAAAATAGCTTTTAATGCAAATTATTCAAATGTACAATTTACAAATAAAATGTTTCCCCTGTTAAAGTTGCATTCTTTTTTACATAAAAATGAAAGTATCTTGTGAAAATTACCTGATCTAGGAAAACGGTATCCAAATCCGTAATCTACTACTCAAAATTTAGTTCACTTGTTTCGGACGTGTCTCTGTAATTTCAAAACTTGAGATTTTCCCTACAGTACATACATACATATATTATTAAACGTGCGATACCCAGTAGAAATCGATTGTATGCATTCATGAAGAATGCTTTCTATATGAGTGAATTAGCGTGAACAATTCATGCGTAGTCTGAATTTCCACGAATACATTCAAATTCGAGCGAATTGTAAGCGAATGTACGTTGTCGTTGTTTAAAGTAGATTTTTTTTAAGTGGAATTTTTGTAATATTTTCAGTCATGTACAAAAATTTTAGTGAACAGACGTGTTGTGCGATACTATTTTCAGCACAAACGGGCTATTACAAGACATGCATTTGCCATATGCAAAATGCTAGTTTTTTGTATGTGTATTAAAATGTATCACAAAAGTAGCATTTACATATGGGGATACATATCTTGTAAGAATGCTTTAATACTGTTCCATTGATGCATTTTTGAATGTTTGAAACATTAATACAGCCATATGCATACAGCAGTAGTATAGGTGTACACGATCCAGAAAATAAAGGTCGCGCCATTCGCGGACCGCTAACCCTCTCTTCGTCGATTTGACAGCATCCACCCAATCGCTGACGTCATAAAATACTTTTGTTTACATTCACTGTTGCCAACTTGATGCTTTTCGCACCAAATTTAGTGGGTATTCAAAACGCGAAAATTTTTGAGTTTGGTGCTTGGTGCGTTTTTGGTGCTTGTTTTTAGTCTGAGGACACCACATTAGAAAATCCTAAAAAAAATCTAAGCAAAATTTGTAGCAATCGTAAGTGTGGTAAGCAACTTTACAAAAATTTAAACAAAATCATGGCACAGTGACAATCATAAGCGACAACAAAATATGTGGCAGCACCTTTAATCATGCCAGAAGAAATCGACCGTCGTGCAAGAAACATTGATGTTTATTAATTTGAATTGGCATCCTTACAATAAAATCATGTATGCATATAAAGTCCATAAAATACACCAATGAAAATTTGGAGCTTTTTCAAATTCATAACTTGGCAATACTGCCTTTTATTCGATGCTTCCTCTTTTTCTTGCCGAGTTCGTCTTGCTCATTCTGGTATTTTTTGACGTCACGGCCAGTTGCTCTCAGCTCGATTGGCGCAATCTTGTATTCTATCATTCTTGACAAGTGTATGGTTAGAGTTCGCTTACGCTCTGAGAAACCACGCGTGTTAAATGGAAATGAATGTTCATTTATACTGGCATGTATACACAGCAGCAAGCTCATGCCACCAACAGCGATGTCGTATGCATAAAATTTCTACTGGGTATGTACACACATGCTTTCTATCTGCCAAGCACTTACGTCATGCATGACATTGATATCAAAGGACGCCATCTGGTTTAAATTGTTTTTTTTTTTTTTTAACGTTTGAAGATACTACATACGTACACCCGCAAATCGTAAATGCAGGAGTGAACTCGAAATACATATGTACATGTGTATATATGTATATATGTAGTATGTATAACTCCGTAATTTTTAACAAAAGTCTTCGGCATTAGTTTAAATTAATACTTTATTTAAGTGATTTTGTTCCTCTCCGACAAAAGATTGCTAAAAAAAATATTTCTTTGCAAAAAGAACATAAAACATACCACTTATTGGTTTTGTGTGAAAGTAGGCGTGGCACTCAAAATAAAATATTTTTTATACATACATACATATGTATGTACTTATGTACATGTCGGAATCTTTATTAAATATTACCCGAAAAAATTATCTGACATTTACTTTTTTTAAATAATTTCTTTAAAATGTTGGCCGCGACTATGTACGTGTAGGTGGTCCACTCGGAAGGTCAAATTTCCACGCCAATTTCAATGAAGTCTTTCACAAAAATGAGTTGTAGATGTGTATAAGAGTCCCCCACTGTCATCGATAATATTATTGCTAAACTTTTATAATATGCAGTATGGATGTGCATATGTATATATATATATATATATATATGTATATAACGCATCAGGGATGATAGATAAGTAGTTCAGTCAGCGTTACCTTCTCACGTAAGTCCATTTTTTGAAATTGTTCCGGAGAGACGAAAAATCTATGTAATTTCGCATTATCTGTGTTGAAAAAAGTGTGGGTAGCGATATGTGAAACACATGTTATGAAAATTGCAGGTAGAGGGTATTGAATGTAAGTCCTCGATATGTACTTAGATAGGCCGCATGATTTCTCGATTATAGGTTTTTTTTATGCCTTTCATGTACGTATACATATGTATGTATTTGTTCAATCTTTTGAATTCTCACAGCTCTTAATTACATAGATGTCAAGCTTGGTTTCAACTAGTGATGAGCGATTTGATGATTGTTGTTTGAATCGGAATTTTAGAGAAATACATATTAGAAAAGAATTAAGTTCTAAGCTTCCAAAATTATCCCAAATGTTTCCTCGATCTTTTTATTCCAATACTGGTAAAAATATGAATTTTTTGAAACAAAGTTTTTCGTTAACATTGAATATTACCACTAATTTGAATAGCCTGGCTATTTTTGGCACAAAATGAGGTCTCAATCATTGAATGTAATAAAGCATTAAAGAAGATATCGTGCGATAACACAAAAATTCATTTGAAAAATAAGTATATATACTTAGATAGAACATTCATTCTACAACAAGTTATTCAAAAACTCAAAAAAAAAACATCAAAAACCGCAATACATAGAAGGAAAACACCACATAAACTAAGAATGTAGGAAATTCATCATTGACAAGAAACTCACAACCATAATATATAAACGCAAAAAAGTCCTCAATCCCTGTTGCCCTTGGCTAAATAGTAGTAGCTTTTGCTATAAGTGATTTGTTATTCACAGTGAAAAATCGCCCCAGATTGAAGTATCGCTCATAAATAATCTCAACTGTAGCGAATCAAAAACATTAACCGCTTTCTAGAGCAGTTTTCCTAACAGTTTTATGGCAACAGGAAGCTGGCCGTCAACGATGAATGTGTAAAATGTGTTGCTGAGCGTAAGCAAGCTTTTAAACACTGAGCTCGAATTTCAATGAAATTAATCAGTTCCTTTTGAAAATTAAAAAAAAAAAAAACACTAGGGTAGCTGAGTTCTTACAATATTTCTTTCAAATTTCACCATTCACGCATTTATGTATAAATTTCTAGGCGCGACGTATTTTTCTCTTTCTTTAACTATAAGGAGAACCAAATTGCTGAGCGAATTTCGTCGAAAAAAAAATATAAAAATACATAAGCGAAAATAGGAATCCCCAAATTTGCCCATTCTGCTATGCAGTTCCTAATAAATATCTGCTAGATTTTCTTTCACAGACGACTGATTTTGTGGCTAGTGGCAAAATTTTTTAAATGTTCATTCCGTTTATACTTTTATACAAATAAATTTATGTATGTATGTACATATGTAAATAAGTATATATATTATGATCCACACATCTTACACTTGACATATCCCGCACGTGCCAAACCAAAGCATTGAAAAATATTTGCTTATTCAACATAGATTTTTTCATTTGCTCAATTCATTAATTCTTATCCTTCAGTATTGATATAAGGTTTTTTTTCTTGTTTACTTTAAATTGCAATCTTAAGACTCTTGGCTTGCTTATCTGGCTAATGTTCGTTTACAATCGTATTAGCCTTTGCTATATTTTTATTGTTGTGACTTTTTTTTTTGCTGTATACTTCTTAACTAATAAACGTCCGTTTAGCTCCAAACTGAAAATTATGTACGAACCATCTTAATCAAATATTACTTTCTTTATTTTTCTTTATTATGTCTCACGATTCGTTGGGAAATAATATTCACCACATTTGACACAATTAAAAAATTGTTAAATGTAAAATAAAAACCACCAAACAAATAACTGTATCCAACCTCTTGTCTGAAAAACATTGTTAAAATACATAAATAAATATGTATGATGGAAAAAATTTACCGGACGGAATCTACTTGATATAATAATAATAATAATAATAATTAATCTGTTGGAAAATCAAAAATTAAAACCGTAATTTCAAAAATTTAACTACAACGTGCATCAACTTTATTGATAACCGGAAATCCATTTGTGCCAAACAGGCCACAATGTTGAAAAAGAACAAGAGCAAAATGAAGCGTCGCAACACAGAGCCAACAATGGCACTCATCGGTACAGCAACGCCACAATTCTCGCTGGCACCAACAACTGTGTTGGCAGCTGCCAGTGACGCAAGCTTAGGCGATACAAACACCGAAGATGCTCCAAATAATACCGACTTCTGAATATGGTACAGTGAGCGTTTGATTTAACGTGCTAATTAATTTACTGAATTTCTAAAAGGCATGTAATTGAAAATCTATTTTTACGTTTCGTGTAATTCAAAGTCAACGATTTTATTTTGTTTTTTTTTTTTTTCAAATAATCAAACATTCCAAATGTTAACAACCTATGTACATGTTTTAACAAAGCGTCCAGGTATTTTTCAAATATATATGTATATATGTATATTAATAAAAAATATTGAATTTTTAAACCGCTGTTTTCCCCGAGACGCTATTTGACTCATATAAATGCATTCATACATACATATGTATTTATGTATATGTATACTTTCACATACATAAATATGTATGGATGAATTAATTTTTATATAAATAAAAAGTCAAATGTATGTACATATTTACTGAGTTAAAATTCAATAAGCCGCCCAATCAATCCTATGTGAATGCTGTGGAGAACTTCTTCTTCAAAAATGCACTCCAACGTTTTCAAAATACTTAGTATAAAGGTATTGTAAAATTGTTTTTTTTTTTTTACAATAAAAGACCGTTTCAAAGGCACTGGTTTTATTTGAAGTATTTGTGTGATTAGTACGTTAAATGCAAGTCGCTCTCTGTATTCTATTCATTTATTACTTATTATTCACTGATATTACAAATAAGAGAAAAATAATAATGACCGGTTCTGAATTCATGAGTATATAGAAACGTACATATGTACATATGTAGCACCTAATAACTAATCAAAATATTAAAGACCTACAACAATTAGAGAAAACACTCCTAAAAAACATATGTATATGTCTACAAAGCAAAAACGTTGCCTAAATTTCTACAAGATAACTTGATTTGAATGGTTAACAGTAACAACCGATACCAAGAAAGGAAAGGAAATTTATTGTAAAAAAAGTTTCATGAAACCATTAAAGTTGAACTATGTACATATGTACATGCATCTACCAAGCGTTGAAATCCAATATGTATGTAGGTATGTAAATAATAGGATGAGATCATACATATATATGTACTTAATTTGATGGCTAAGTTTAGTTCCATTACTATCCAAATTACCTACATAGATTTTGTTTTAAATTATGTTCAACTGCCTATTTTTCTCCTAAACCTAATTTGCAATAGGGTCAGTATTGCGATAAGGAGGTAAGTAGCAAATAGAAAATTCGAAAAATTCCAATACGACCTAACCTAACTCCGTAATTGCTCTTAAAATTAAAGTAAATTTCTGATTGCATCGTATTTAATTTATTCCAACCTACATAAAACCTTGTTAACTGTTTGATAAAGAAATCAACTAGTAGCTTCCAAGCTACTTTTGTTTGTTTTAAATTAAAATTTGTAAATTGTTTGATAAAGTCTAAATGCTACATAAAACTTCAAAAGAGTAATATTTAGAGATATGTAAGACATCAAAACGGTAATAATTCGTTGTTGTGCGTACTTACCTAGTTATGATACAAGTGAAAGTAATATAACAGAATTTAGAAAACTTACTTAAAGCATACAACAACAATGCCAACAAGTAAACTGTAAACAATTAATGCTTATAGTTATTGATTTTTTCAAGTTCATAACTTTAGCATTTACATATATATATACACATTTATGAAAAATTGTGAAAAATAATTAAATGCTAATTTTTTGCTAAAGATTGTTGCCTAGGCGTCACGGAACTTAGACATCAGTGCTTTAGCAATCCTATTTACAATCACATATACATTTATACATAATACACGTTTTATTCAAAACTTCATTATCAAATAGCCAAATACATATGTATTTGTAAAAACAAATTGAATAAAGTACAGAGATAAATCGCCTTCACTTGCTGCGATTAGGGGCTCAGTGAATGTGGAATAATCGGCAGCGTAAAAAAGCGTCCGTGAACCATATTGGCCGTAACACACTGCAGACTCGAGTCGACTTAACAACGTGCCTTGCACTTACATATGTAACACCTGCACACACAATAATTATGTTTATTTAAATACATCTATACATAAAAAAAAAAAAACTTAGTAATTAAGTTTTTATTTAATTGTAGGCGGTTGCAAGCTATGTTGCTAAGTTAAGCGTGTTAGGTCAAACTTTTGATTAACTGCATTCACAAAAAATCTGCAGCTGGTGGGCGATTTGAAACTGAAACTCAAGAACATAGAAATTAAGCTAAGGAATGAATGATTAAAAAAAAGCCAATACTGTTAATGCCATATTTTTTTAGCTGAAAGTATGGACTTAATGAAAAACGCTCCTCTAATCATAAGAAATCTTAGAAAGCTATGTAAGTATATAAAAGCTGAATAAATACTTACAAAATATGCAAATATTTAAAGAAATCCAAAACATAAATATCAATACAAATTGGACTACAGAAGTTATGTAATTAAATATTAGAAATCGATGTAGTGTTTAGCAATAAGTGGTGAACTAAATTATAAAAGAGAATGCTAAAACTTAAAAAATAAATTGAAAACAAGCAAATTATGAAACAAATGAAAACATAAAGGCGATCAAAAATTTCTGCAAACATACTGTCAAACAAAGTGAATAGGAAAGGGAGCGTAGTTCCTCTCTGGCGAAAAAATTAAGCACATGACATCCCGATCTCTCTCTCGGTATTTTATTAAAGTTAAGGTATAGAGAATGATGCGAGCGTTCATTCCTTTTTTCTAAACCACAGTATGTAGAGGCAAACAAATTAAAATCCGAAGCAATGGTGAGTAGATGATTTTTATCTTAGTTAAGCGTAAAGGACATTTCCTCTATAACATAACGGTTTAGAAATGGAATTGGTTGCTTTGATTGGTTTTCGAACTCACCGAAATGCATACAAAAGTATTTTGATGAGATTTACAAAAGAATACAAAAACATCATAGCAGATTCGCATCACTTTAGATTCAACCTGTCCATACATGCTCTTTAAGAAGTTGGCCTCAGAGATATTATAGTAAATTACATATATACCTACAGATGGAGGGCATAAAAACAAAATCAACAATTTGCTTGCAGACGTAAATACTGAATGAAATGTACAAAACTATGCACCTAGCCGTCAACTCCACAAAGATGTAGAATAAAATAAAAAGTGTTTACGCTCATATTTAGTAGGTATGTACGCAAAAAAACGGCAGCACTACGAACTCCAGACCCACAGCACCACAGGGGGTTTTAAAAACTTCTTGCGTCTATTTATTTATATTTATTGAGTGTACAATAGTTACTATTCCAGTAATTTGAACATACTGGAAACATGCACATATACATACATACATATAAATATCTACATACATACATTGACAGAACTTGTCTTCTTTAATTAAAAAAATATGTATGTATGTACAATAAAATAGATATACATACATATACTATATTGTTGGTACATACAGCAATGACGGTCGATTTTAGGCGGAAGGAAATCGCCACATTATTATTACCTGCTACATACCTACATTTGTATTTAATTTCATAAAATGCAATAGGACCAAACACCTGCCCTCATTATGTGCTAAACTAAACATTTTTGTTGTTGTTAGGCAACTAAATAAAACGTTCTTAACAGTTACTAGATCATGTAATTCTACACAAAATTATTTGCAAATGCGAAACCAGTTGTCCAGCATCTTTTTTCCAAAAAAGCTAAATACTTTTGTATATGTGTATGTATGTATGTATGTATGTAAACACATAAGTATGTACATACGTACAAATATACATTAACACAAAATTAACTTTACTTTGAAGAAATCACAAACACCACGAAAAAACTACAAATGATCCTAAAAACTTATTGAATAAATGCAAGTGTGCAAATAGAAATCAACAAAAATGAGCAACTACAAAAATAAATGTAACTAATGACAGAAGTAAAGAAGATCAGATGGAGTTTATATTTACGAACAAGTGCATCCATGTAAGGTAAGTCATAACCTGTTGTATGTTGAATAATTTTCTTAACTTTAAGTGTCAAAAATCACATGATAGCATAATTGAGATACTGTGCAAAATAATCGTAGATCAGACAGAATCAAGGCGCATTTATACCAGGTCTCTACCCTGGTACAACAGAATGTCATCCAAGACGAAATGGCGTAGCTCTAGGATTTCAACAAAACGAAGTGACGAAAATTATCTCCTATTTTATGTTGTTTTGACATCCTTAAGTACCAAAAAGCAATATCAAAATACACAGGATTTTTACTTATATGCGCTTGCTACCACCTTATATGAATGCGCCTTGGACAGAATATAACTTCCCAACATACATTTAGCTTTGGGCTCAACTTAAGGTTAAGTTGAGAACTAAGGTATATCTCAAATCTCCAACGTTGTTTCTCAACAGTACCTCAAGTGGAGGTGAACGCTATGATTCACAACAAAAAGCGCATTTTTCTTTGTATGAAATAAGGACTGTTTCTCAAGTTGACAAAAAGTTAGTTCTCAAATTGGTCTCAAACATATCATTGAAATACTGAAATTAAAATAGTAAAATAATTGGTACCTTTTTGATTAAAGCTACATAGATAAATTTAAATAGGTATTTATTTCTGTATTGCTTATATAATAATTATTATAATTTTATAATTTGTTATTATTGTCAATTTAATATAAATAAGTGGCAACCCACCCCAAACATATTTTCAACAGTAAACTTGTTTAAACCCATTTAGTAATATTTAGTTTATCTAAATTTTGCAAAGAGGTGGCAACCCTCTAAAATATTTTCAATATTAATCTTTCTCTTCCTCTGTAGTTTGATACCCATATGGTTATATAAAATTTATCTTATAAATTTATTTAAATTAATATTTTCAAACAGATGGCAACCCTCAGAGACATTTACGACTTTAAACCTCTTTTTTTACACCCTTATTGTAATATTCATTTTGTTCTACCAATTTACTTATTTTGAAATTTTGAAACAGGTGCCAACTCTCTAAATTTCTTTTTTCCTAAACCTTCGGGTAGTAATTTTGAACAAACCCGCTGAAGGAAGTATCCAGTTTGGTCCAGTCATTGTCAAGTTTTAGGCTTCCTAATAAACCACAATCCATTTTTATATACATAATAGGGATGTTAATTTTTCGGCTTTTTCCGATCCCGGGCTTTTCGGTATGGCGTTGTCCCGGGATTTAGATATTCATTACTTTTCAACAACTTGAATCGAAAAAATTGCTTCCATATTGTTTGAGAAGCTCTGCTAACATGAAATAAATAATAAATAAATGGTTTTGAAACCTACTTTTTTATTTAAAGTGGCGCTTTTATCATTTCTCTCTGACCGCAGGATTTATTTTGAAGGACTCTGTAATTTCAAAGATATGATTAATTCCAAAAATTGTTTAAGAAATTCAATAAAGGAAAGAGCAATAATGAAATGCAAGTACATACCTAGTTGAAAAACGCATTCTTTTATTTTTTTGTTCAAACTTGTACGTTACGTTATTTTTTTAACTTATACCTAGCCTAGTTATAAGTATTATACGTTTTTATTTGAAGCACCTATGATTAGAAAAATATGTATTTAGCAAAAATGTGGCCTGCTATTTTAAACTTAAATCATTTAGCTCTGAATCTGATAAAGCCACATTAAACCAGCATTTTGAATTTCAAAAATCTGATATCAGATTTCAAATCAGCCACTTTGAAAACCCCTCTTATATGTACTATATACAAAAGTTTTTGGTGCAAATGAACAAATTATAAAATTTCGTCGCCATTTTTATTCGCCATTTTAAATTCCAAAAATCTGACATCGGATTCGAAATCAGTGACCTCGAAATACCTCCTTACACGTAAGTTTTTGGTGAAAAAAGAAAAAATTATAAAATGTCTTATTGGATCCGCCATCTTGAATTTCAAAAACCTGACATCATATTCGAAATCAGCGACTTCAAAAACACCCAAACACCAAGTTTCAAATCAATTTGTTACTTCTCGACTTTTGGCCAGCAAATAGTAGTCACCAGACCATAGTGCACCGCACGGTACGAATAGCAATAATGCGGCTGAAAAACAACAAAACTGCTGGAGCTCACAGCCTGCCAGCTATGCTATTCAAGTACGGCGGCGAGCAGTTGATAAGGTGCATGCATCAACCCTTGTGCAGAATACACATGCCCGACGACTGGAATTTAAGTGTGCTCTTCCCAATCCACAAGAAAGGCGACCACGCCATTCTCGCCAACTACCGCGGGATCAGCCTTCTAAGCATAGGTTACAAGGTCTTATCGAGCGTATTGTGTGAAAGACTGAAACCCACTGTCAATGAACTGATTGGGCCTTATCAGTGTGGCTTTAGACCTAACAAATCCACCATAGACCAGGTATTCACAATGCGCCAAATCTTGGAAAAGACCCACGCGAAAAGGATGGACACTCACCACCTATTTGTCGACTTTAAAGCCGCTTTCGACAGCACAAAAAGGAATTGCCTATACGCCGCTATGTCTAAATTTGGCATCCCCTCAAAACTCATACGGCTGTGTAAAATTACGTTGAGCAATACCGCCAGCTTCGTCAGAATTGCGAAAAATCTCTCCGAGCCGTTCGCCACCAAACGAGGTTTCAGACAGTGCGACTATCTTTCATGTGACTTCTTTAATCCGATATTGGAGAAGATAATAAGAGCTGAAGAACTGAATCGCTCAGGAACAATTTACTGCAAGAGCGTGCAATTGCTGGCTTATACCGATGACATCGACATCATCGGTAACAAAAACCGCGAAGTCTGTTCTGCCTTTTCCAAGTTGGATAAGGAAGCAAAGCGAATGGGTCTGGTGGTAAACGAGTACAAGACAAAGTATCTACTGTCATCAAACAAACAGTCATCACATTCGCGCCTTGGCACCCACGTCACTGTTGACAGTTATAATTTCGAAAAAAAAGAGAATGTCGTTTACTTGGGAACATGATAAAAATCAAGGCGAATTAATATAAGGTGATAGCAGGAGTACAAAAACAAAAATTTACATGTATTTTGTTTTTGCTTTGGCGGCATAAACTGTCAAAATCTGTAAGAGGGTGTGTAGAAATTCAAACAAAATTTTTCGATTTGATATCAGAAGCCGTCCGGCGAAACACATACACAAAATCAGCTGAGCTAGTAACACCACCTTGTATTAATTCGCCTTGATAAAAATATTTATAAGGTACAATCGCTGAGAGCCAATTTTAGGTATTTTGACGTTTGCTAGCATTTTGAAATTTTCTCGCGCGTCATTTCGTTTGTTTGTTTTTATTTTCACTCAAACCAAAGAAATATATTTCTGTCGAAACAACAAAATTTGAATGTACATACATATATACATACATATGTGAATAAATAAATGGAAGCAATTGTCTCTAATGGACTTCTGCCCGCATGTTAAGGCAAAGATTTCGGCATGCATTTGAAGATATTTTCCCTTAAAGGCACTGCACTTTTGAAACGACGTGCTTACATTGTATGGGGTGGTGTGGCAAAAAATGAGCCTAGCGCACATGAGCACTTGGGAAAATCTGCTGCCTTAACACCACAAACTTCGATCAATTTTTGCGTACATATGATAATTGCGGGGACTTAAAAGACCTTTATACTGCTTTGCTTGCAGAGAAAAACAGTATTTGCGCATCCGCTTAACTGCCGTCCCTAAATTGGAGCGCTAAGCGTTACGTTATCCATTGTCAACAAGTGTCAGCGCGCGCTATCCCTAAATCAACGCGTCGTAATTTTTGACGTTTTCTCAGGTCCTCTCGTTTTTATTCTCGTTTCCTCTTTCACTTGTTTGTCCTTTCTCTTTCTTTCCGTCTTCTGCATCCAACTTCAATACGTAACGCCCTGTCAAAAATGAAAATTCCATTTGCTCGGCGTAAGCGCCGCGTTATTGTGGGATGCTTCATACAAATTGTATGGGCATGAGGATTTTTGACAGTTGCTTGGCGCTTGACGCGCCAATTTAGGGATGGCAGTAAGAAGCAGCTCATCGCAGCGTTACGGCCCTTCTCCGCAGGCAAAAGTTTTTGCCAACCAACTGTCATTTTTATTGCCTGATAAAATTTTTATCAGAGGCAATATTTGTGCGTGGGCATCTGTTATCTTCATAAAAGCATTTGTAAATGACTATTTTTGCCGGATTTCATCACTTAAAAAATTTTAAAATAATGCTATTTCACACTCAAGCAAATAATAATAAATATTTTAATGGAAAAGGCTCAGTTTTTGCTTTTACATTAAAATATCAGGAATGTTGACTCCACGAAGCGAATATATACAAGGTTGTGTTGATGGCGAATTTAGATTTTCGCCGAGGTACGTCTTAAAGCTGATGCCAGATAAAACTTTGTAGCTTTGCGTGACATTTATA